GATGGCTCAGCAGCTAAAGGCGCTTGCCAGCAAACCTAGCAACTTGAGTTTATACTTCCGTCCTCTGACCTTTACCAACATACACACACACACACATACACACTAAATGAATGGGTGAGTGAGTAAATAAAACTGAATAGAGATCAATAAGGATTTGGAACCTAAGCTTGACTACACCAGGCTAGAACCGCAGTCAGGCCCTCTGAACTGGGAAGACTGAGGCAGGTCCTCTAAATTGCCCTGTAGTAAAGATTGGAGGATAGATAGGAAGCCCATGATCATTCCATTGTCAAGATTGGAGGAAACACCTTTGAGAGCCTTGGCTATTGGGCAGTACGTAATGAGCAGTTCTTGGGTAGTTTCTGAGTTTGGAGAAAACAGGAGTGGAAGATCATCTCAGTTCTGTCCAAGAGCTGTGACCTGGAAACCCCTAATCCCATCCTACTTCAGTGAGCGCTAAACCTCCAGTCAACAAAGCTTTAGCTTTCTGCCTGCTGTCTGCAGCCCCGACTGTACTCTAGCGGACTGCAGCATCACCACTGTAATGATGCTTCCCCCCCCACACACACACTTGTTAGCAGGAAGAAACCAAAGCCTAAGAAAAGGACCTCACCAGAGCTTCTGACATTTCCCCCTTTAACACTCCTAGTCCTAACTATCTTTGCAAAGTACAGGAGAGGCTAGGCATGGTGGCATATTCCTGATATCCCAGTACTTGGAAAGCTGAGGCAGGGAGATTGCTGTGAGTTCAAGACAAGCATAGGAGATATACAAGACCCTGGCTCAAATAAATAAATAGGTAAATAAATAATGGCTGTGGTAGTGCAAGACTGAAATCCCTGTATTTATGAGGCAGAGGTAGGATGACTGCTACCAGCCTGGGCTATCTAACAAGTTCCAAGCCAGCTAGAGCTACATATCAAGACCCGATCTCAAAAAAACAAAACAAGAAAGTCTGGGCTTAGTAAGGTATCACTTCCTTTATTCCCATCTAATTTGCAAATGCAGTTTTGTGAAAATCCTTCAAGAAAATACATTTCATTGTGAAACAACTACTTACTCTGAGAGCAGTTTGTTATATGGGTCAAGAAGGTGGGCAGGATTCAACAGCAATGCTCTTAGCTCTGGATATTCCTGAAAGCTCAAAGGCTGAGGGGGACTTGGTGGCTGGGGACTGAAACCACCTGAAGGCTTGCTCATTTTTATGTCTGGCTGTGGACCAGAACAGCTACAGCCCGGCGCACCTAACAACCAAGGGCAAGTATGCTCTGCGGGTAGCCAGTGGAATTTGTCACCTTTCTTAATCTAGCATTGAAGTCCAGCCTGTCCCACCACATTCTGTCTGTAGTCTTCCAAACCTCCCTCACCTATTGCAACAGGAAATAGTCTCACCTCTTGATAGGGAGTGCAAGGTTCTGGGAAGATTGTGGTCCGTTTGAGGAGTCAGTTTGACTTAATCTTCTCTTGGAACAAGCAGACACCTCCAGGGAAGGAAAAGGACCTCTAATTCTGGACACATTCTCTCCCCAGTCAGCCTCACAGGTCTTTACTGCTCGCGTATCTCCTGATGCCCTTTGGAAGATTGCTGCAGACATTTGAGCTCTTAATGAAAAGCAGTTCTTTCTGGGAAAGAACTAGCCAGTGCTTTTAGAGTGTACATGATAAAGCCTCGCTCCCAAAGTAACATGCAAACAGTAAACAGTATACCTGAAATCATAGAGATATACGAGAAATTACAACAATGGCATATGGACACAGTTACAATCTCATAAAAAGTACATGTATAAAGCACTGGACTTGTCCATAGGGAGAGTTATTAAAGATTAAAAGCAGAGGACTTTGCATGAATGCAGCACATACCAGCCAGCCCAACTGAGCCCTTGTCATCTTGACACACAAACATCACTGTTAAGCCATAACCTTTCCTTTTTCATACACTATATTTTGATCATGTTTCCCCTTCCCAACTTCTCCCAGGTTCTCCCCACCTCCCTACACATCCAACTTCATGTTCTTTCTTTTTCTCTCCCTTAAAACCAACAAAAGCAAAAAAGGAAAATCAAGACAAACTAAAAAAAAAAAAAAAAAAAAAAAAAAAACCAACACCAGTAAGATAGAAAATACTAAACCAAAAAGTTCATCAAAACAAAACATGGAGTCAGTTTTGTGTTGGCCACCTACTCCTGGACATAGGGTCAGCCCTGGAGTGAGGTGGATATACCCAATGACACTCCATTTGAGAGAACGGATTTTCCCTTTCCCAACAGGAATCAATTGCAAATAGTTCTTTGGTTAGGGGTGAGACTGTGTCTACTTACCCACCTCAGGAAATATGTAGATCTTGAAGTGCACATTTACTGAGTTTTCAGAAGTGGATACACTTAGAAATATTCTTATCTAAAATTAGGATTGTGGTACTTGGGGCTAACTCAAAGGTAGAATACTTGCCAAGCATTGACTCCCCAAGTTCTCTATCCCTAGTACTGCAATGTAAAAACCAAAAGTAGGAACTTTTTTTTCCAAGTTATTTGCTAAACTGAAATTAGTATAAATTGTCTTCTATCTTGAGAATTGTACAAGCAGACCCGTGTCTGTGGTCTTGGATGGGATCAAGTCTTATCTAATGGACTGGACAAGTATTCATTCTTGGGACCAAGAACAGAAACACTTCTAGATTGTCTGATGGTGGCTATAGTGTGTTAGGACAGAAAGCCTGTATGCTCTTAGTTACAAAACTTGAGCCAATGACCCTCAGGAGGTGAACAGTGGCCTGAACAGCACTTGGTCTTCATTTATTTCCACTCTCATATTTCCTGGCTTCAGTTTCATGTCAGCACTTCAGCGAACATTCTCGTGAATTTGTCTGGTGTCCGTCTACACCCCAGAGTGGGGCTCCTGAGAGCCGACATCTCCTCTAACTCACTCCCTGTGGCAGCCAGCACATGGTCTACACCCGGGATTATTGAGAGGACAACACTTTGTCCCATTCTCTAGACAGAAAAGTGGCTGGAGGGGGAAGTGACTTTCTTTAGGAAACAGTTAATCCCGTCCTCCAGTCCTGCTACTCCAGCTCTCACCTGCAGGTGTCAGTGCCATAGGGAGCAGGAGGGGTGGCGCCAACTTAGCCTTCTCTTGTCTCGCTCCTCCTTTTTTTTTTTTTTTTTTTTTTCTTCCAAGACAACTCTTGGCTTTGCTGATGGGGTAGGGGTTCTGAAAAGGACCAGGAGTCAAGTAGAACAAGAACTGAGCCAGTTTCACCAGGAAGGCAGCTAGGAATGAGACTCTGTTCTTAAAACAAACAAAAAATAACCCTCTGTGTAGTTGTCTACAGTAAACCTTCCTACCCAGGGTGGGTCACTAAAGAACCTTGGTCTGAAGTTCTGTTACCCTATGCAAAAAACACACTGCTTGAATATCATATAGAGAAAAGAAACTTGCAGTTTTCTGAGAATGGGTTACTTTGCCAAGCTGCATGTACCAGGAAGGTTCCAGGAAGAGTCGGGTAGGATCGGGTCATTCACCACAAGGCAGACCTGAAAACCCAGCACTCTGACTTCCACAGCTTACCACAAGTCCTCCCAAGTGTAGTCAAATCCAGCAGTGTCCTTCACGTGGTCTCATGGAGAATCACTTATTCTATTCCTTTTAATTACGTTACCAAATATTAGTATGGCAAATCCTTTTATGATGCTGTAAGTTCAAATAAAAATAGAAATAAACAGTGTAGGTTAGGTGTAGATCAGGAAAACTTGACTGATAGGGTTTACTCTAAGGCCACAGGGCTGCTTTCTTAGCTAGCCCCTCCTGCACTTAGTGGTTTTCAGATTTTTTGCTTTGTGTCGGTTTTGTTTATTTTCATGCATCGAGTTCTAGTACAACACCAGAACTTTCATTTAGTTCCTTTTCGATTTGCTGTGTATTTGCATCCCTGATAGACTTTGTACTTCCCAGGAAATCGGCGTCTTGGACATGTAGGAGTGGCTGGAATCTGACATTTAGGAGACTGGATAGTCTCGGGTTGGCTGTCTCTGGGATGGCCCCGCTGAGGGAGAACCTGAGTCACAAACGTTTAAGTCTTACTCAAGGAGGAGTTTTACTACCTACAGGAAGGAAGTTTAAAGAAGGCCCATTTCAACGCACATCCCCAGGCTCTGGCTCTGGTCAGTACACACTTATTCCAGAGTTCTAACTTGGCGCCCCAGGTCTTGCAGCAAGCGAGTTCAACTGGGAACCGCTACCTCCCGAAGCACCGCCAGATGGCTTCGGAGCTCTAGGCGAGGGACCGCCGCCCAGACGTGTGAGAACAGTGTCCGCGCCCCTGATCTCAGGGCTTTCGATCTTCGCCTCCACCACCAGCCATATATCAAAAGGCATCTTCCCCGCCCGCGGCAGAGCACCACGTGCCGTGCTTCGGCCCAGTCTAGAGAGTCAGGCCCAGCACGCACATCTGGAAAGCAAGAGAGATTTCCCTGGGGTTCGGGTGGGGATGATGTGGACTGGTTTATTTAAGATGACATTCGCAGAGCCAGACCCGTCCTAGGGACTAAGCAAATACCTCTCTCCTCGCAATTACATCCTTCGTCCTTTAAGCTTCTTGCAGCAAGGGTGAGGGAGAGTTCACGGACGAAAGGATCACATTTGGAAAGGGATGGAGAGGTGGCTTTCGAGTGCCTAAGCTCCCCAGCTGGAAGATACTGGCGTGGCTGTGCCTGGTGTCAGTTTCCTCATCTGTAAACTGGGAAGAAAGCCCATGCCCAGGGGCCTAGGACTGTAGCGAGGTAGAAGACGTTGCAGCCAGGAGACAGGCGCCTCCGGAGGATGGGGAACGTCTAGTCCTCACCCGGAGACCCCCCGGGCTCCTGGGGAACTCCGCGGCGCAGCCCGGCGCGCAGGGGTGGGGCCCGCGGAGGCGGAGACGCCCGCCCAGCGTCAGCGAACCAGCGCCCGTCTCTCAACGGCCAATGACGAAGCGCCTTACAGCCCAGGCCGCGTCGGGAGTGAGGCTGCGGCGAGCGAGGCGCTGACAGGGACCCGCGGGGGCATCTAGCACACCGACCCCTGGACCACGCCGCCATCGCAGCCTCCCGCCCAGTCCTCTCTCCGCTGCTTCTCCTCGCCATGGAGGCGAGGCCGCCGCCGCCGCCGCGGGGCTTCGAGCAGCGGACCGGGCGGCGGCCCTGAGGGGAGCGGCGGGCCGAGACGCCGCCGCCGCGGTGCTGAGGCGGAGCTGCCGTGCGCGTCCCCCGCGGTCCCGCCCAGCGCCGGGCTCGGTAAGCGTTCGCGCCTGCCGCCGTCGGGTGGGCTAGGGAAGGTGGGATGGCCTGGCCGCGTGTGGGAGCGGTCCCTGGATCCGTTCCCGGAGGAGCGCCCCCGGCTTGTGCATCCTGGCACGGTGAACAGGGGGAGGGGGTCCCGGAAACGTGCGGGACACGGACAGCCTGGAACTTTGCGGACATCCTCCTGGGGCCCTGGCCAGGGCGCTGCTGTCCATTCTGAAAGAAAAAAAAAAAAAAAAAACTTTGAGCAGCGAGAACGGTATTTGCTCAGGTCCATTTAGTGGGAGGAGAAAGGTAGCTCACGCAGTGATTATTTCCACCCCCCTCTTAAAACCCCTTCCTGGTCCTACTCCCCAGCCCTCTCCCAAGCGCGATCCCAACTGTTGTGTATGCTTAAGAAGGAAAATATGGACTCAGAGCTGCTCAGAATTCAGAACGAGCCACTTGGGAACGCACATCTCTTCTGTTTACTTTCAGCAAATCTTAAAAATTGCCGCTTGGTGGGGGGAAGGGACTAACTCCTAATTGTATCTCCTAAAAATAAAAACCATAGAGGCAGAGCTGATCCTGAGAGGTTCGAGTTTTTGTTGTTGTCAGTGATGATGTTTGTAAGACAGGGGAAAAAAATGCTCCAGCTTTTCTTAGAGTAATGCTTGCCAAAGCCCTTGGCCAGGATAGGGAGTCCCTGTTGAAAGGCAGTCTCCTGGAGTCCCTGGATATGGCATCTCTTGTTACCTGTTAACTACTGAGGCAGCCAGAGAACCAAACGATGGTGGATGAGGATTGACAGGGACGGGATAAACATCCTTCTGCCTAGATCCTCCTTTCAAAACCATAGCTCTGACGTTGTCATTTGTGCTCTTAAAAAGTCCCTCACTTTCCTCCGCCCGTGAGATGAATGAAACCCCAAATGCGTTATCATTTTCTACAAGGCTCTTGACAATGTTGCCTAAGCGTAATCTTTTATGGTTTCCTGGGCTCCTTTCACTTCCTTCTCTTCAGCGCCGTGGTTAGCCATTCAGAGCTGTTTGCCTGATCCTTCATACTTGTGGCGGTTTTTGGTGTTTTTTTTTTTTTTTTCTTTTCTTCCCCCTTTGGCTTTTCGAGACAGTGTTTCTCTATAGCTTTGGAGCCTGTCCTGAAACTAGCTCTTGTAGACCAGGCTGACCTCGAACTCACAGAGATCCACCCGCCTCTGCCTCCCGAGTGTGCTTGGTTTTTGCTTTCTGGTTTTCCCTTTTCTCCCACCTTTTCTTGCCAGGTTCCTGGCTTTTCTTCAGAGCTCTTTTCATTTGGGAAGCTTGAGGACAGGGACGTGTAGGTTCTTAACCACTTGCCAAGAGCAATGTTTACTAGTGTTTTTCCTGAAGGCCTGCTTGGAGTATGGGCTAGGACTTTTATATTCTAATTCCCTCTCTCTCCATCTCTGTGGCACCCAGTGCCCAGAAGTAGTCATCAGGGAGAGACTGGTAGGTTTTATGTCCTACTTCTAATCTGTCCTTGAAAGGCCAAAAACTCAGTTCCTTTTCCCCTCTCTCTGCCGGAGTGGCCTGATAAGTTCACTCTAAGGCTTGGTTGGATCCAGGAGACTAGTCACTGGGTACCTTTTAGCCACTGACTTAGTATGTGGGTGAATGCAGAACCAGAAAAGCAAACCCCTTGATTCAGTACATTCATATGCCACCTATTTGCCAGACAAAGTACTTGGGGTTCTAAATGAAAGTGAGAAAGTCATATTCTTATCTTTGAGAAGATTATATACCAATGCAGGACGGGTAGATATAAAGTTACATCATAGGTGCTATTAGAGTAATAATAATTGCTGTTTTCTATTGCCTGTGACAGACTATATAATAAATGCCTTACATGAATTATCTTGCTTCATCTTTTCAATAATTACAAGGGCTCCCTCCTACTCTGCGGGACTAGAAGTGAGTAGACAGGCAAGGAAACAGAATTTGAATCCTGACAGTCCTTCCTCATTCGCACAAAGTATTGTTTACTCTTTGTATCGACATTTCTTTTTTTAAATTAATTTAAAACGTATGTGTATATGGTTGTTTTGCCTGCACTTATGTCTGTGTACAACTCATGTGCCAGGTGTCCTTGAAGGTCAGAAAGGTTGTTGGAGTCTGTGGAACCAGAACCATAGACCACTGTGAACTGCCATTTGGTTACAGAGAATTGAACTCAGGTCTTCTTGAAGAACAACCAGTGTTGGCATTTCTTATTTTGTTATTCAGCTGTAGAATAAGCTGTTTTGTTGTACATTGGATTGTTACATGTATTTGTAACTAGGCTTTATGTTAAACATTTGTTTCTAGGTTTTCTCTTAAAAGAATACAATGAATATCCTTCTAGATATTTTGTTATATGTTTTATATACAATTAACTGAACAATGTATTTTAAGAAATGGAACTATTGGATCAAAAGACCTTTGTGTAGTTTTTTATTTGTAGGAATACCAACAAGTTGCCACCTCTTTGAAGTAGTGCCCATTTATTCTGTTCCCTAAACTGGCTCAGTAAATGTAAATCAGAATATCTAGAAGTATTATCTGGGTACTTTTCCTGCAGACTATACTTGTTTCCCTCTCCTACTCCAGCCTAGTTCAGAAGCAGTCATGTGATTTGTGCAAGAAGATCAGAACTGGATGATGGTGGCTTACTTTCTATAGCTCGGGTGTTTGTGTTTGTCTAGTACCATTCATTACTGGAGGACCTCAGCATCGGTTTGTAAACATTGTTGCATTATTTTTGCATCTTCATGTGTTTCACTGTTTCTTGGGATTCTAACAGTGCTATCACAGACAAATGCTGTTCTTTATTTCTTAAAAATATATGCCAGGCAGTGATGGCACAAGCCTTTAATCCCAGCACTCGGGAGGCAGAGGCAGGAGGATCTGAGTTTGAGGCCAGCCTGGTCTACAAAAAGAGTTCCAGGACAGCCAGGCTGTTTATACAGAGAAACCCTATCTTGAAAAACAAACAAACAAACAGAAACAGAAAGAAATATATATGTATAGGAGCTAAAGAGATGGTTCTTTGGTTAAGAACACTGAGTGCTCTTGCGGAAGACCAGACTTTGTTCTCTAGGATGCACATCAATCGCTGACAACCGCATCTACAACTCCAGCTCCGAGCTCTGCCGCCTCTGGCTTCTGAGGGTACCTGCACTCATGTCCACACACACCATTAAAAATATTAAAAATAAAGCTTTAAGAAAAAGAAATATACTAGCCATTAAGAGTGAGCGCTGCGCTCAGAGAACCAGACTTTGGTTATCAGTATCTACATCTGGCAACTCTCAGCTGCTTGGAACCCTAGCTCCAGGGGATCGGATGCCTTCTGGCTCTTGTGGGGGTGAACGTGTGCACACACACACAGTATTTTTAAAATTAAATCAATAAGCAAAATAAGGTGGATAGCTCCTAAGAAATGACACCTTAGGTTGTCCTCTAGCTTCCATCGACACAGATATATGTGTAGTTTTATACTTCTACCCATACATGTACACAAAGAAGAGACTCCATTCCTTGTCTCCCCTTGGGCAAACTAGTCAGGTTATCATTCACTTCTTATCTTGTGGTAGAGTTGATGACTTGAGGATAAGTCAGCATGCTCTAGAGGAACAGAACTTACAGAATGAATCTCTCTCTCTCTCTCTCTCTCTCTCTCTCTCTCTCTCTCTCTCTCTCTCTCTCTCTCTCTGTGTGTGTGTGTGTGAGAGAGAGAGTGAGATTTATTAGAATGGCGTACAGGCTGTGTTCCAACTAGTCTAGCAATGGCTGTCTACCAACAGAAGGTCTGGTCTAAGAGTCCAGTGGTTATTCAGTCCACAAGGCTGGATGTCTCAGCTTGGCTTCACCGTGTGCCAGAATTCCAAGGAAGTAGGTTCTAATGCCAGTGAAGAAATGGATTTGCCACTGAGAGCAAGCAGGCAGAAAGCTTCCTTCTTCCATGTCCTTTAGCCTGCCAGCAGAAGGTGTGACTCAGATTAAAGTCGTTCTCCCCACTTCAGATGATTTAATTAAGAAAAAATATCCCTCCCTGGTGTACCCAACCACTTGTGTTTAAGTTAATTCCAGATCTAGTCAAGTTGACAACCAATAATAACCGTCACAACTTCCATAATTTTTATGCCAATTTTTGCTAGGCTTGGTAGTACATACCTGTAATCCCCAGTCACCTCAGAGGTCGAGGAAAGGGTTAGGTGAGGCCAGCCTGGGCTGTATGATGATAGCCATTTAAAAAACAAAACAAATAGCAATTTTTTGCTGCCTAACAAAGAATATTAAAGAAATATTTGTGGCTGATCTCTTCAAGTAAAGTGGGGTTTTTAAGGAATATTTATTAGTTTTTATTGTTTTATGTGTACGTATGTACAATGTGTTCATGCATCTCTTGCGGCAGTGAGAGGCTGTTAGATCCTCTAGAGCAGTGGTTCTCAGTCACTACTGTTGTGCCCTCGCCTTCCTTCAGTACAGTTCCTCATGTTGTGATGACCCCAACCATAAAAGTTTTTCGTTCCTATTTCATAACTCTAATTTTGCTACTGATATGATATCTTAATGTTAATATCAGGTATACAGGATATCTGATATGCAAACCCCAAAGAGGTAGTGACCCACAGATTGAGAACCACTGCTCCAGAACTGGAGTTACTGGCAGTTGTGAGCAGGCAGATGTGGGTGTGTCCTCTGCACCTGTAGAGCCTTCTGGCCCCAGTGGTGCCTATTTGATGATGAATGAGAAAGTAACCACTTTTAAGTTATTTTATTTTTTAAACTATGCATTTGCACATATTTATTTGCACAGGAATGCAGGTGCCCACAGAAGCCAGAAAATGGCGTTGGGTCCCCTGGAGCTGGAGTTCTGGGCTGTTGTAAACTATCTGATGTAAGTGCTAAGGACCAAACTCTGAAAGAAAAGAACAGTACAATTTCCAATTTCTGAGTTATTTTCCAGCCCTGAAAGTAACTGCTTTCTTTTTC